ATTTATATATTTATATCGCTTGTATATATTTATATATATCTATGTAAATAGTACGTTTATATGTATAAGTATACTTGACTTTGTATTCTTATCGTGAAGTATCATGCGTGAGCACTCAATGTCACATAACTATATAGTGTGCGCATTCGCAGTGTCTAACTATTTACACACAGCTTCTAACACAAACTACTCCCACATTCATGTGCAGTCGTCTTCACGGGAAGTCTTATGATAACGCTTTGTACATTCATGCATTTCTAACCATTCGCGTCAGTTGGGTGACTGTTTCTCATCTCACTCGAGGTGTGGGTAGAGTGAGATCGTTCCCATTTGCATGCTCTCTTTCATTTCATGAGGCCCATATAACGATCTGATCCTCACCACCTTGAACCGGCCACTGCTCTTATACTTATCTTCCAGCCAACTCAGCATGGGTAAATGTGCAGAGACAATAGGCTGTATACGTATATACCTTGCTGCACCTATACCAACACACAGCCACAGTGTAACCAACTCAGCATGGGTATATGTGCAGAGACAATAGGCTGTATACGTATATACCTTGCTGCACCTGTGCCAACACACAGCCACAGTGTTCGTTTCTTCATGAATCTCTAGCGCCGTGCCTGCCTGTCGTCTCGTATATTACATATCCGTTCTTCCAGCGTAACTGTCGGCCAAGGCTTAGTTAATGTGTGTGTATGGATTTCAAGGATGTATACGCATAAGTCAGTAGCTGCCTGTGTTGAGTGTGTTATACCTGATCCTTCTTCACTTCTTTCAAAAGAAATTAATCGATTATAGGCCATTGTATCTATTAATAGAAGTTACTCAGGTAAGGCCATTGTATCTATCAATAGAAATTACTCATTTAAAGGCCATTGTATCTATTAATAGAAATTACTCAGTTGAGGATCATTGTATTCATTAATAGAAATACCTATTCAAGGGCCATTGTATCTATTAATAGGATATCTATTAATAGAAATGCTCATTCAAAAGCCGTTGTATCTATGAATAGAAGTACTTAGTTAAGGACCATTGCTTCCGTTAATAGAAATTACTCAGTTGAGGGTGTCGCTGGAAGGGATGCGGGCAGAGCTACACGAGACGACTCGACAGTGTGACGAACTCAATCAGCAGTGCATTCAGCTACAGGCCAACTGGAGAGAGGTACATGCCTATGTATATGATTAACTATATGTATGTTTATATATGTATATTTATATATGGATATTTAAGTAGATATATATATGGATATATAAATATATCTATGTGTATGTTATGTATACGTTGATGAGACGTATATATATATATGTGTGTGTGTGTGTGTGTATGTATATATATATATAGTAGGCATGTAGGCATGTATGTATATATATGTATATATGCAAGTATGTATGTATTTATGTTTGAGAAACATATTTT